TGGATAGCTCTATCAGTTCTAAACTGTTCTTCCTAGAGGTCCAGTAAGGATCATCTCTTATTGATCCAGTGTTACTACAGGAGGAAACTTAAACTAAACTAACTTTATTTATACTGGATAGCTCTATCAGTTCTAAACTGTTCTCTCTAGAGGTCCGATAAAGATCATCTCTTATTGATCCAGTGTTACTACAGGAAGAAACCTAAACTGATAGAACAGTTTAGAACTGACGGCACTTTAATACACTAACCCTGCATCCAAGTCGTTTCTTCTGTCGATCTAGATAATCTTTCAAATGTAGTTTTGTTGTCTGGATGTCATGCATAGCCATATCAAAATCAGTATCGACACCTATACATTAACAACACGCTTTTTGTACTGTAAGATAACAAACTTGAAAACTGTTTATTACCGATGTGTAAAACACTTCGAAGTATGTGAAAAATCCAACCTCGTTTTTCAAAATTTGAATGGCATGGGAGTTTATAAACACAGCAACTGAAGTGATTGTTTTGCAAGTGTCAAAGCTAGGAACTAGTGAGTTTAAGATACCCCAGTATCATCTTGTTTACTAGTTTTTACTGATGTCTGTAATTCGATCATACTTTTTCTGTTTTCTTGCAATAGTCAATGATTTTATGCGAAAAATGTGCACCTTAATTACGAGTAAAGGTACACGAAAATATTGCTAATCAAAATCATGCTACCTGTACCTGTACACAGAAACCGGGGTATCTTAAACTGACTACTATTAAACGAAGAATCGGTCTATATATTTGTATAGCGTATTCAATACAAAATTTAAAAAAAGCTTATAACAATAAGAACTGACCTTCTTTCGGTAAAATAACCCCTTCTTCCTTAGCTTTCCTGTGATCAAACGCATACTGGCATAAAATGAGATAAAAGAACGATATTGCCCAACTCTGTTTTTATTCCTCAAAGAGGAAGGCATTACGAATATAGGATGAGATGGAATAACTAGAATCTATTTATTTATTTATTTATTAAACTTCGCCACTTTCAACAAACAAGTGGCAGAGTCACCACAACAGTATCCACCAATTACTGTGGGCCCTTTTGCCAAATTTTAAGAATACAACACAAAATAACATATCACAATACAAAACTACATGGCACAGTACAATATTGAACATATGCAATGCAATGCAACGCAATACATACCAAGAACAAGATTCAACTTCCACCGCCACTAACCGCCACCAACAATGTTATAGTTTACCGAGCTAACCAATTACATGCACACCAGGTCAGCGAGAGAGGTAACGGTAGTGGAGGCGAAAGCCAAATCTCAAACTCGCTAAAAACAACAAGAGATTGGATTAGCCAGACTGCAATCAACCTCTTTTTCCCTATTTTCTTTCATTCGTTATATTTTCTAAAATAACAACGTTCAATTTCCCAAAAGAGATTACCTTGAAGAAAAAATCTAACTCCTCTCGGAAGTCAGGAAACTTTCCCGCATCCGTTGAAGATTCCATGCCGATTGTCATTCTGAGAAGTTTTGATCTGCAAGTGTGAAATATAGAGTATATAACACTAGAAGTTACTACCACAAGGTAAACATTGCCTGACAACAATGCCATAAGATAGGGGGTGTATAAAAAAGGTACTGTAGTCGAACTTCAGCGCGCTATGGCACCTGAATTACTCTGCGTATGAACGAGATTTTTTCGTATTCGGTATTCAAGTACAAGTACTATTGCAGTATAATGATGAGGAAATGACACGAGATTAGAAATTCCGTACTTGATAGTTTCCAGTTGATCTTTGAATAACACACATAACTTTCTCGCTTTTTGAAAACCTTCCAAAGTTGACAGAAAGTCGCCAATTTTCTTTTTACTATAAAAACAAGTTTCATTTTCAAGCAAATAAACCTACCGGATAGCTCTATAAGTTCTAAACTGTTCTCCCTAGAGGTCCAGTAAGGATCATCTCTTATTGATCCAGTGTTACTACAGGAGGAAACCTAAACTAAACTAACTTTATTTATACTGGATAGCTCTATCAGTTCTAAACTGTTCTCCCTAGAGGTCCAGTAAGGATAATCTCTTATTGATCCACTGTTACTACAGGAGGTAACCTAAACTAAATGACGAACTTTATTTATACTGGATAGCTCTATCAGTTCTAAACTGTTCTTCCTAGAGTTCCAGTAAGGATCATCTCTTATTGATCCAGTGTTACTACAGGAGGAAACCTAAACTAAACTGTTTTTCCTAGAGATCCATTACGGCTCATCTCTTACTGATCCATGCGAGAGATTATAACGAGGGAAACCATTGTTCACCTGTACGTCAGTTCATTATAAAAGATCGCTCTGCTGTCAGGATGGTCCTTGCTACGGCTGACTGAGCCCATACTATGAATCCTATGAAAACATGAAATTGCACATTTACAACAGAATGGAAATGAGTTCATTTAATAAGCCTGGTCCCATGCACTACGACGCAAGCACAAGTATAAGGCCCTGGTTCACACTATCAATTCTGTCGCGGCGATTTTGTATTTCTGACGGATGCAAATGAGTGAACTCGCACATAAAAGTATAGAGTCGCTTTTCAGAAGTAAACAATTCTAAATCTTTTGCACGTCATTCATTCGATCACATTTACCAAGAGGAGAAAAATCGCCAACAGAATTTCTAGTGTGAGCCAGCCTTAAGGTTACAGAACACCTTTGAGTGTTAATTTTGCCTAAAATTTTTTTATTGGTTTCAATGAAAGCATTAGACTAGTTCTACTATCTGACCAAGTTTGAACGAAAAATGTTGAAAACTCGCAGAGTTATTTAGTAAAATACATTTCGCTGCAATAAGAAAAACATTGAAAATGTAATATTCAAATTCAATTTTCTCCCGAAAAATTTTACGGTAATTACTGATTTTCAAACGAGTTATGCTCCTGCGGCTTTTAACCAATTTTTCTCAAATTTTCACAGGACATAGCTAAAGACGTCAGTTTCAAAATTGTGTTCGGCTTTTTTTTAATTTTGGATATTTTAAAAATAAAGAGCAATTCACTCAAACAATTCAGAAATATATTGCAGTCGTCATAGAAATCACCATATCAGCGGAATGACGAAATAAACAAAAATTTCCGAACACAATTTTTTAGAACAACTATTTTACTGTGTAAAAATGATATTTTCATAAATATAACTTAAAACCAGCAGGAGTACAACTCAAAAGCGTAAAGGTACCGCGATTTAAGATTTTCCTGAATAATTCTTACATTATTGTTTGTTAATTTTACAACTGTACCATATTTTGCACGCACTGGAGAACATTTGGTGAAAATTTGATGAAAATCGGACTGATATTGAGCGCGCAGTAGCCATTTTCCGCAAAACGCCAAAAAGGGTGTCCTGTAACCTTAAAGCTCATTTTCAACTAGGCGAGTTTGCTCATGCGAACAGTAAAAGCTCATGTGTCTTACTTTCTCAACAAACGCTCGAGGTCAGGTAGATTTCTTAAGATTTCTCTTGCCTCAGACACGAGAGAACGTCTTGACATTAGGTCCTCGACAGCATCCAACCTATGAAAGAGAGGATTTATATGCAGGTAAATTGAGCTGAAAGAAGAAATTGTACTGCAGTAAGAAATGAGATTAAAAAACAGCAATCCTGTCATTAACGCCTGTATTCTAAAAGCACACTCACAGCCAAAGAGTTCAATCTGAGGTTCCCTTGAGTGTCAATGCTGTTTTTGAATAGCTGGAGGGTTAGTGTCGTACCTTGCTATGTGACTACTCACCCTCCAGCTATTCAAAAACAGCATTGACACTCAAGAGAAGCTCAGATTGAACCTCCACTCTTTGAGTGTGAGTGAGCTTTTGGAATACAGCCAACAGGCGTAAGCGTTTCAATGTTTTCACGTCTTACCTGTCGTTAATAGACTTGGGATTACACAACGGTGAACATAGCCATTGCTTGAAAAGTCGCTTTCCTGTTGTAATAAATTCCAAAATGAGGATCTGAGAACCCCGACATGGTTTCAAATGGCCCTATTCCCTATTGAACACAATTTTGATCTAAACAAGTCTAGACAAAAAAATTCACAAAATTAGTAATATTCCGAAGTTTCATTGCGAAATGTTGTAAAATGCGGATAATATAGCCATGCGAAGTTCGCCGTTTTTCAGTCATTTTGTATTACGCACGGGAAACTGATCCCGCTTTCTGAAAAAAGGTATCAATTTCCCGTGCGTATTACAAAATGACTGAAAAACGGCAAACTTCGCAAGGCTATATTATCCGCATTTTACAACATTTCGCAACGAAACTTTGGAATATTACTAATTTTGTGATGCTCTTTCAAGCTGTGATGAAATTTTTGTCTAGATCAAAATTTTGTTCATTAGGGAATAGGTCCATTTACCGATGCAAAATTCCTACTGTGATCACAGAAACTTTGATATAGTGCAAACCGAGCTTTAAACTAACAATTTACGAACCAAAAGAAGTGCAGCAGTTGTCCACTTGTTCCAGCAACGTTCCTTCTAGTGGTATATCCACTCCGTTTGGTACGACATCAAGGTTGGTTAAAGTTACACCATCCAGCATCTGCAGAAACACAGAACCCATCAACCAATTTACCAAACCTTCTACCCATCCCTTAGCTTTTCTCACAGTCGATTTTACCGCAATTTTTCAGGCACTGCCTCTCCCAAGTGGAAGAGTGACAAAACGTAACAAAGCAACTATTTTAGTAACACTAACCCAACTCCAAACACAAACTCTAACCCTAATCCTAACCTAACCCTACTCCAAATTTGTTTCCAAACCAATCTTGAAGAAAAAAGTATGAAACATCTTTTTCCCTCCCCAAGTTCGAGAGTTTCCTCGCCACGAAATACAACTTGTTAGTATTGTACTGCAGTTGTTTGTATAATGGTAAATTTACAGTTATAACTTGTAAAAGTCGTTTTTCACGTTGTTTGAATGGTCTAGAATCTTTCACGAGGGCAGACAGTACCCCAAAAATGGCGGATTTTGGCCAACCCAGTGAACTATATACGTTATATGTTATATAGTTCAGTGGGCCAACCTTGTACCCAGGGTCCCCGTGTTTAAAGGTTCTGGTGTGCACGCGAACCTTAAAACACGGGGACCCTGGGTACGAGGTTGCACTTTGGCCTTCGTGAGAAAGGCTGATTCATCAGCTCTATCACTCAATTAATAAATTAAATAAGTCATCCTTTCTTGTCAGTCAATAATATCAACACAAAATCTATTACCATGTGATTTCGTCCTTCTGTAAAAGACACACTTTTTCTGTGGACAGTGATTTCATCCAAAGGTTGATATAACTAAACATTATATTTAAAAAATTTTGAGATTAACAAGCGAAAGCTGATTATGAATTCACACTGAAATTTGATTCGGTATACTACCTCAAACTTTTTCATTGATAGCAGTTCATTTTCAATCAGGCACTTTTTCAAATACCTAAACATGAGGAAGGAAGGCGGGATGATTTCGATGTATTGAAAATAAATCACTAGGCTTAAACGAGAGTACAAACAGCAGTTAAGAAAATTCAAATGTTGTCGAGAAGATCTCGTAGTTCAAGATTATTATCGCTGCTTGAACAACCTTTCGTTTACAATAGGGCCATTTATACGTGACAAAATAAGTCGCGACTTACATAAGACGCGACTTAAATAAGTGGAGTTATCGCATAAATGGTTCTCTACGGCTTTGGTCTTATTTATTTGCTATAGCTATAATGTTGTTTTGGTTGTTTTTGTTTTAATATGCAAGGCATTAAATTTTACGTTGTTTCAAGTTTCTGACATGTGTAGTTAGACTTTTTGTCCAAAATTTCTTATTTAAGACGCGACTTAAATAAGAACAGCTAAAAGACCTGTTCTTATGTAAGACGCGTCTTATCCAAGAGTCGTCTTACATAAGAATTTTGTACCTTTTATACGACAAACTCGCGTCTTACTTAAGTCGCGTCTTATGTAAGTCGCGTCTTATTTTGTTCAGTATAAATGGCCCTATTAATACTATAATCTAGCACCAGAAAAATAAAGTAGTTTTTCTGAATCGTGCACTGTGATTTCAATACATCAAAATCATCTCATGAGGGTACAGCGGGTTGTATACCATTCGAACAATGTTTCGACTTACCAAATACAAGCTCCCAAGGCTGAAAAAGCCAATTCAAAATCCTCAGCAGGAGTTAGTCCAGCATTATCTAGAACGAACATGAAGAATGAAAGATGTTCATTCACTTTAGTCAGAAGATTTCCATCTGGCGGTAATATTCGCAAGCATATCAAGCTGTCCAATGCAACAGAGTAGAAACCTACCACCGATTGACATTCCTTTCAGTGTTTCAGGCCATTTCTAGAAAAGAGAAAAACGTTCATGCAAACTCTCGCTTCTCAACTCTCATGTAACTCTTGTTCTCGTTTGACCAGGGCATGAGAGTTGAGAAAACTCTGATGTAAAGTCTCTCTTCTCAACTCTCATGCAACTGTTGTTCTCGTTTGACCAGGATATGAGAGTTGAGAAAACTCTGATTTAAAGTCTCTCTTCTCAACTCTCGTGCAACTCTTGTTCTCGTTTGACCAGGGGCATGAGAGATGAGAAAACTCTCATGCAAACTCTCACTTCTGCTATATCAAGGCTTAACCACAAGATGAAGGGCCTAGCTCGTCGAAGTGTTTTTTTTTTATCTTCTTCAGGTAGTTCCGACACGAAAAGTCTGATACATCAAATAAAACTACTCAACAGAAATGCTGGTATATACCTGTTCGCCTCCCTCGTGAAAATATTCATTTTCTTGCAAAAATTTGATCGTCTTTGATGCGTCCCAAAACTCAGCACCTTGAACAAGAACATATTGATTCTAGCTGGTACAAGCTGTAAATACTAATTGTTCCATATTTTGTATGCTTTTCCGAGTACAAAATGTACAAACCAGGAGAAAGTTGTTCCTTCATAGTTGAAAGCATCTCATGGTGAAGGACAGATTGTGTTTTCTTTGTTATGCCTCCCCGTTCAAACAGAATCTGGAAATAAACAATGGATCGACTACTGTACACTAGACACGCCGACCTTTTTGTCAAAAGCCTATATTCACTTCGCCTTCGGCTCAGTGAATATAGGCTTGCAATCACCTCGCCTTCGGCGACTAATTGTTAAGCTAAACATCCTGATTGACTGATATTTACCTGAGCCGGGACGTTGTTAGCAATGAGAGTTCTAAGTCTTGAACATTGTCTGTCATCAGAGAATTGTCCTAACTACAGTGAAGACGAAATAATTGAAGAATATTAAAGCGGAATTCAATCTGTGAGCCGGCTATCAACTGATGCAATCTTACATGAAATTTTCCAATCGACGTGTCAATAAAACAAACGCCATATTTGCTTTCTCCTCCACAACTTTCATCAAAACCCTGGAAAAACAAAACCAATATTCAGAAAGAGAATAAAAAGACGAAAAACTTGACAACAAAATTTTATTTCGACGTACAGATTCCTTCACGGCCAGTAAATAAGCGGCTGCGTCGTCAGCAATGTCACCCTCGTTAAATCTGAACATTTTTGTCGCTGGAAAAACAAAATGAACACTTTAAATTAAGTAACCATCATTGTCGATACCTAAGAGAAACTACCAATCAACAGTTCATTATATCTTGTTTAATGATACACACCTTTTGACGTGATCGCACAAAGCTCTCGTCTCACAACCTTATCGCCCTTATCTGAAAATAAACGCGAGTTCATAAAGACTTTAAAAACTCAATAATAATTTTTGCTGCGTTGGTGTAATGTACTCAGGTGAATAAGATGTTTGTGTGATGTTACTCTGAGTGTATATCCACACCGGGCAAGCTTGAAAAATATGCCTGGCCACGGTGGGATTCGAACCTACGAGTATTCTAAAGGTCGTAGGTTCGAATCCCACCGTGGCCAGGCATATTTTTCAAGCCTGCCTGGTGTGGATATACACTCAGAGTAACATCACACAAACATCAATAATAATTCATGAGAAAAGACAAAAGAAATCACTGTCGTGTTTTATTACATATACATTTACCATTTATATAATACTTGTATATAGATTATGTGTGCTAAACTAAATTCTTCTTCTTGTTGTAAACTTACTTGTGCGGTTATTCATCATCTGTGGAGTCTCAGTTTGCTCAACACGTGCAACCCTTTGACAGAAATAAGATTTTATAAATACTGCAAAACCTGTAAAACTGTTCCCTCCCTACACTGAAATTGATACGGCTTCCTAGGCTAGGTTTCCACTATACTGGATAGCTAATTCCGTAGCGGTGCGAAAAAGCACCTATCCGATACGAATTGTACAACTTTCAGAAGCTGAGCGAAACAACATCTCTGCGTTGCAATAATTCCTCTGGCTCTGGTACGGATTGGTGTTTTTTCACGTCGCTACGGAAAGCCATCTGATACAAGTGTCAACGTAGCCTCACTTGAATCCTTTCTGAACCAGCATATCAGAATATCGACCATACGAAATCTCTGGAAAACCAGCGTGAGCAAACTTGCCCTAAAATGAACGACAATGGTGAACGACAATGGTGAGATTCTTCTTGGCTAATACCACACAATATGACATAATTTGCGTGCCCTGTTTATGCCTTGCTGCCTAATAAAACATGTGAGCTGTGGCTAATACCTTCATGTAAGCCAGACCAAGTTCTTTAACGCCAGTAACTGCATCCATGTGATAGAACTCGTAAAATTTTCCAACCTAAATAAAGTCAGTTTTCACGACTTTTCAATAACCATATAGCACACAAATTTGCAAATGTTGACACAAATCTACAAATTAAATTTTCCAACAGCTCATCAATGAAGTTGAATATGTTTTTCCAGAAATCTTTTCTGGTTCAATAGAGGGTTTATTTTCTAAAGCTTTGAAACGACATGCAGAAATACATAAACAAAAACAGCAGGTTAAAATTCAACCCAGGGTTAGCGCTAATCGGGCTTCGAACAACCGGCTTCTAGTTTACAGAAACACAGAAGAGAACAAAGGTATTCGAGAGACAATATTGAAAAACAAATGGAACGAGAAGGAACGAGACCAGATACAAGGACGTTATAGAACGGTTATATTATAAACGACTTAAATACCGGTAAATAAATAAAAGTTAATATAAACGACTTAAATACCGGTAATTAAATAAAAGTTAAAACAATTGAACCAGTCAAGGTATATTATATGTGATATAACGGGGGTAAATTTTTCCCAAACTTGCCTTGAAGAAAAGAACGGTATCATAATTGTCCATTTTAATCTTCCACCATTGTCGCATGCCCTGAAAACAAAAATTTCGATGAGTACACTGCCGTGGGTCGTGGTTTCTGCACGAACAAAACATATGAAAATGATGGGAAAATGTGATTTCTCTAACATACTGGCGTCACTTCTTTGGAATTGAGGTACGTTGAGGGAATCTGGGAAAACAACAAGAAATTAGTGGGAATTTTAGCGAAGGTGTAGAGTAGCTACTTGTCAAAATATCTTACATAGAGTGTTCTTGGGTCATAATCAGGATCATTTATGCGTCTGCCTTCTTTATCTCTGAAATTAGAACAGGGAACATTGTGAGTATGTGGGGGGAGTTGGGAAGGGAGGGAGTTGGAAAGGGAAGGAGTTGGGTAGGGAGGAGGGAATTGGGGAGGGAAGGGAAGAGGGAATTAGGAAGAGGGAATTAGGAAGAGGGAATTAGGAAGGGAAGAGGGAGTTGGGAAGGGAGTTGGGAAGGGAGGAGGGAGTTGGGAAGGGAGGAGAGAGTTGGGAAGGGAGGAGG